AAAAAAAAAAAAAAAAAAAAAAATAACGGAAAAAAACACAAAAAAACAAGATTTTTTTCTCTTTTAGTTTTACTCGCTAAAAATATTTCACTTCTTTTTTCAATTTTTTTAAATGGTATTATAAAAAAAATAAAACTTTTAGAGGGAAATGTTTTTTGCACTTTCTGCATCATGCAAATATACTATCTCACTTTTTGCTTGTTTAGATTTTTCCAGTCAAAAATTCCTTGATGAACAACAAAATAAATACAAAATTTAAAAGCTTTGACATACATTTTGCAGATTTTAAATGCTCTCTGAACTCCAGATATTTTTCTTATATGCACATATGCAAATCGTTTTCAGCTTTTTAGCGAGTTAACGATGTTTTTCTGCATGAAAAAGTTTTTGAGTTCTGATAGGCGATAAAGATGCTGCTGAACAGTTTAAAAAAAAAAAAAGGCAATTACATAATTTCTTTAACAATATTTTATTATCCAAAAATGTATAATTTTTCAACCAATAAAATCGCTGTTCAGTATAAGAAAAAAGTCGTCTGCGAAAAAATTGGAAAAATAGAAAAAGCATTAAAACAATCCATTTGTCACTGTCATTTTGGCTAAAAATTTTAAATATTCTATTACTGAAAAAGCTGTAAAAAACAGCAATAAAAATTTCTTAAATGGCTGCAAAAAAAAATGCAAGAATGTCAGTTTTCTATTAAATAAAAACATAAACTGAAATCAACCTGATTCTTTGAACAAATGTGGAATGCTCCAAATGCAATCGGCTTATTCTCATCGGTGTTGTCCACAACCGTTACTGTATAAATGGTGTTGTTATCAATGAATGCAACATTGTTGTTTGTCGGTAGCAGTCGACCGCAAAGAACCTCGTTGGCTTTAGTTTTTTCCAGAAGTTCATGAACCGGTAGGCTAGTCAACATTTTTGGCTCACGTTGTGAAGTTTGTTTGAATACACTAAACTTGATCTTACAACTACAGTTTTTCACGAATACAAGAAAAAAATGACTTATTACTGTCACTGGTAAACGATCAAAAATTTTTCAGCACCGTAATGGCAATTGCTTTATTGCGCAAAACAGAAAAAAGTAGACAAGAATTACACGTAGAATTATGAAAAAACGAATAAGACTTTGGTAATAATAAAGCTAATTAAATATTTAACAATGTTAGAAAAACTTTAGTTTAAGTAAGTAACAAATTAAAAAGAATTCGCACAAAATCACTAAATGATGGTGAATCAGTAAATTACAAAAAAATTTTGAAAATCATGATTTTTATTTGGCGTTTGGGATGTATATAGACCATAAACAAAGCTTTGCATGAATTCGATTTGGATTTGAAAAGAGAACTTAGAAATTTTGGAAAGACGATCCGATAAGTTCTATGGGGGCGGTTTCATGTTGAGGCATTGTGCTTCAATGCCAAAACTGAATTGTCGATTGTAATCTTCACAAACACAACTGTCATTAAACATACCCAGACTGATATTATCTGAGAAATTAAAAATTTAACAGAAGTTTTGAGTTGCTGCATAAAAGACTTTTGCGTAGATCAGGCAACAGTTTACAAGTGAATTCTTCAGTGGTTTAACTCGTATCAGTTATGGTATCCGCTTCGGTCGCAGAAGAATACCATAAAACATTTTGGATAACTATATGATGTTATCGAACAACAAGTCAAAAACTTCAAAAATGGCTATGAAGTATTATTATTTGTTCATCAGCGTGTAATAAATATTTGTTTAAAAACTGTTAATCACTGATCATGGCCAACTAATTTTCTAACTTAAATGGTACTCAAATAGATAAAAAGAGAGAACATTATAAAAATTTCTAAACTTTTTGTAAAAAATTAGGAGAAAAGCAACCTCAGTTTTAAACTGCAGCTGGTCCTATGTTATTCTAAAGGAAAAACAAATTTTTTTTAGTGTTTATGACAGTGAAAAAGTTTAGCAAATAATTGAAATAACTTTTCAGTGGTAATACAAAAGGCAAAAACTGCATTATTTACCTATTAATGAAAATGCATATATATATATATATATATATATATATATATA